TCAGAATCTAGGCTAAGGTTAAAATCAGGGTCAGAGCCAGGGGTCAAGATACCTAGGGCTAGGAGATAGGATGAAGGTTAAAGTCAGGTCAGGATTAAGATGGGAGCTAGGTCCTATAGGCTAGGGTTAGGATTAGGGTAGTGTCTGGGTGCTAGGATTAAAGCCAGAGTTAGGGTCAGGCTATAGCTAGGACTAGGGTCAAGGTCATTGTTAGTGTTAGGGACCTGTAACTGATCACAGGTGCTGAGAACATATGTAGATCATGTGTGGACGCCAAGGCCCCAGACTGGGTCACAGAACCTTGCATGTGGGATTCACCATGGGACAGACATGTGATTCTGCCCAGGGTCCCCGTGTGTCTCTGCAGGGACATCATGGAGACCTCTGGAGGATGGCTGGTGGCCTGCGTGCTGGCCATGACCCTGCTATCGACGGTGGCTGAGGATGTGTGCCGAGCCCCCAACGGGAAGGATGGGGTTCCAGGAAAACCAGGTCGCCCAGGGAGGCCGGGTCTCAAAGGAGAGCGAGGGGAACCAGGTAAGCACCTCTGCCGGGTGGGACACTTATCCTGCCTCCTCAAGGCAATGGCTTCCGGTGGTCCTAGGAGCAATGATGCATTTGAGTTCCAGAAAGCCATTGCGGTGTGCAGCTCACCCTGGAACCTGAGGCCCTAGCCTTCTTTCGGACCTTATCCCTAGCCTCAGGCCTCTAAAGAGAACCCTTTTCTGCCCCTCCACCCATCTCCCCATTCCTCCTCCAGAGACTGGACTGTGTGGAGAATGGGTATGAAAGGTCTAAATAGCGAAGCCCAAGATTCTAGAGTCAGGAGCCATTGCCTTGCTGATTGACTTCAAAGAAGCTATAGACCGTCTCTATATTCCATTTTCTCCTCTGGAAAACGGAGGCAGAGCACTGCCTAGCGTGTAGAGAAAGATCAGCCAATAGCAATGAGCCCTGCTAGCATGTGGAGAAAGATCAGCCAATAGCAATGAGCCCTGCCCCATGTGGAGAAAGATCAACCAATAGCAACTGCTCTTTGCATTTCCTTTCAGCCCCCTCCTCAGTCCCTGATCCCCTGTTCACTCCACCTTGCGGGAGACAAGAGGGGAGGAGCTGTGACCAGCGCCCAGAGCAGGAAGGAACGCCCCCTGTCATCCTGAGCCTCCCAGTCCAACAGGCCCAAAGGACTCCATCAACACCTGCACTCATATGCATACAGTTGCTCCCATAAGGCCCTAAACCTGAGAAGAGAGTTGGTGATCTGGAGGCAAGGGAAGTGACATCATGGGCAGGACTCGGCTGAGTGTCCTGGAAGCCAGGGTCTGCCGCATGCTGCATTTGCTTCACTCCGTTTTTTAGATGAAGCCGAGGTTAACCCACTTGCCTTAGGCCACCCAGCCAGTCAGGCCAGTCAGCCTCAGTCTCTCAAAAACAAAGGCTCTTTTCTGTGAGAACTGCCAGGACCTGGACTCTTTACCCATCATGCCCCCTCACCCAGCAACTGCCCTCTTTCCACACAGGAGCTGCCGGCATCCACACGGGTATCCGAGGCCTTAAAGGAGACCAGGGGGAGAATGGACCCCCTGGCAAACCCGGGAATATGGGGTTCCCAGGGCCCACTGGGCCCCTGGGGAACAGCGGCCCCCAAGGACTGAAGGGCATTAAAGGCAACCCGGGCAACATCAGGGACCAGCCCCGGCCGGCTTTCTCGGCTGTCCGGCAGAACTCCCTGTCAGCTGGCAATGTGGTCATCTTCGACAAGGTCATCACCAACCAGGAGCAGCCATACCAGAACACCACGGGCCGCTTCACCTGTGCCGTGCCCGGCTTCTATTACTTCACCTTCCAAGTGGTCTCCAAGTGGGACCTTTGTCTGTCTATCGTGTCCTCCTCCAGGGGCCAGATCAGGAAATCCCTGGGTTTCTGTGACACCAACAGCAGGGGCCTCTTCCAGGTGTTATCAGGGGGCACTGCGCTCCAGCTGCAGCGAGGGGACCAGGTGTGGATAGAGAAGGACCCCACGAAGGGTCGCATTTACCACGGCACCGAAGCCGACAGCATCTTCAGCGGATTCCTTATCTTCCCCTCCGCCTGAGCTGGGGAGCCGTCCCCACACCTCGCACTCCCTGCCAGGGGGGGGGGACCACCGCCCTGTGCCCCTTCTCTCTTCACTCTGCCAAGCGAAGGGGCTGGGGCCTTAGCAGCTCGTGGGAGAGGCTGGCTCCGAGGGCCCTGAGGACTGATGTCTCTCTGCACACAGCCTGGCGGTTTCTTCAAGTACTTTCTGGAATAAATGACCCCGTTTGTGTCTGTGGCTTGAGGTGCGCTGGCTGTTCCGGGCTTTGGGCAGGCAGGAGGCAGGAGAGTGGCCGTTGCTGCCTGCTTAGCGTCGCACACAATGGTTGGTGGGGAGGTTCCAGCATGTCAGCCTGGCTCCAATCCAAGTGTCACCCTGCCAGCTTCCGGATCACACAGCATGGCCCCCGTTTCCAAATCTGCTAAGTGTTACTAGTGATGGGGGGCTGCTGTGGCCCATGTGTGAAGGCTGCAGACAGGGCCTGTCACTGTGCTGTTTTATCAAGCAAACTTGATAAGCAAACTCCAAGGCGGGTATTCTAAACTCCCGGATGACTGACGGGACTGAGACCGGAGCAGGGGACATGGAGCCCCAGGTCAGTACCTCAGAGGAGGAGCTGGGGTTGAAATCACCCTCCCGGTCTTCCCAGCCATACTGGACAAACCACACAGGTGCTTCTGCAGCCTGGCTCAGAGAGGGCAAGCAGGTGGCTCCGGGGCAGTCTCTCCCAGAGCTGGGTCTCCTGAGCCGTTTCCAGGAAGACATGGAGACTGGCTGGCTGTCGGCTGACTGCCTGGGTGGGGTGGGGTGGGGGAGCTGGGCGGCCACAGCTGAAGATCCGGGGTGCTCAGGGGTATCCCCATAATCACACAGTCTCATACATGTGGAGTCTCTCTCACACACAGTAATCACACATGCTCTCCCTCCTGCTCACACTCCCCTTGGGACTCACCCCCGCTCCTGGGCTGAGACCCACCTACTCCTTACCAAAACAGGGACTTCCTCTCAGAACACTGCGTACACTCCTGGAGGCGCACACTGGTTACTTCTCCAAACACACACATGCACACACTCACACACCCCCACACTCACAAGCATGAGAGAGCCTGTGTCTTCTCCCACGGTAACCCCCACGTGCTCACAGTGACAGTCAGGGGCTACCCTTCCCTGTCCCTGGCTGGTGCACCTGACCCAGCCTGCGTGTTCCTTTCTGCGTGCATACTCATGTCCCGTCCCTGCAGCCAAGAGCCTCCGGGGTCCAGAAGAAGAGCAACACTCCAGGGAGAACAGAACCCCCTCAGCTCCAGGCCACCACGCAGCCTCCAGAGCGCCTTGGTTTCTTCTTGTCCACTCTGCCCCCAGCTGTCCCTAACCCCTGAGTGCACACCCACATGGGCTGGGAAAGACATTGACTTCGGGGACCCCATGTGCCGTCTCTCCACAGCCACAGAGTCCCAAACAGCTGTGGACACTGAGGCTCCATGGAAGGAGGTGTGTGCTCACGCAACCCTGCCGGAAGTCGGAGGGTCTGAGCCAGGCTGTCTGGTCTGTCACTTTGTGGGGGCTGAGAGGTCGAGGGAATGCCCGACCCAGCAGGTGCCGAGCGCTGAACCCCTTCTGAACCCACATCCCAGCCCTTCTCACCCCCTCACCTGTAAATCTCAATTCCTCTGAGCCCTGAAGCTGAGCCAGGCAGAAAAGTGGGCGGGGTAAAGAGGGCTGAGCACGGACCGAGCCTGCCACCTGCTGGAGGAGCGAGGCCAGGCACGGAGGCGACCGTGGCAGAAGAGCACAGGTTCCCTCACCGCCATCCCACAATGCAGAGCCTACTGTGCCTGCTCCTGGCAGCCCCAGAATGCCAGTGCTGCACCCTTACCCTGGCCCCGTAAGTGTATCCTGGGCTATAGGTTGCGGGGGAGTGCACAATCAAGAGAGGGTTGGGAGAGCGAGGCCTGATGTGCTGGCGTGGGTCAGGACAGAGCAAACACATGGTGCAGAATCAGCCCCATGCCCACCCAGGACACCACCCAACCCAAAGTCCAGGCAATAAGAGGGGCAAGGCTGGATTGCTCTACGGCCCCAAACTTCCCTCATCCTATAAATCCCACTAAAGAGAAGAGATAGGGAGAGGCTGGGCCTGACCACCACAAAACCCAGGACTAGAGACGGGGGCAGGATGGTGGTAGTGAGAAGACTGTGGGGGGCTATCAAAGAAAGAAGTAGTGCCAATAATGTCCTGTATCCCACCTCCAGCGGGGAAGACGTGTCTGCAGTGATTGTGTCTGCTAGTCAGGGAGTCACCAGCAAGAACGAGGAGCCGAGGCTCTGGCTCTGCAGCTGGAGCGGCTGGAGCAGCTGGTGTAGCCAGGTAAAGCTAGCTTACGCTGGTACCCCTCCCTGAGCCTGACCACTGGAATGGGTATGTGGATGTCTCTAGAATAAGGCTCACCACTTGACAACTGTGTGTGAGGCCTGTTTCTGGGGAGCCCCTGAACACAGAGGTCACCCCGACCCCCACTCTGTGTGTGACTGAGGGCCAGACTTGTTCTCTTCTGGAAGAGGGGCTGTGACTTCCTGTCAAGGGAATGGAAGGCCATTGAGCCCCACGCCTAGCGAATGCCATAGACGGGCTACAAACTCAATGGTCACCCTGCCTGGAGACAGGTGTGCTCTGGGCTCACACACACACACACTCACATGCACACACAGGCACATGCCCTGATGTTTCCAGGATGAAGGGACAGCAGACACTTCCTCATTTCAGCGCACATGACCTATGGTTGGGAAAGGAAGGGGTGGACAGAGGTATCACTGTGGTCAGCCTGGCTCAGAACCTAAAAGAAAGTGCCAATTCAGGGAAATTTTCTGGAAAGGGGATGTGGGATTAGGGTGCTATGGAGGGGGAGGGGCACCAGGCCCTGCTCTGGGCAGTTCTTCTCTGTCTGCTCCGACACAGTGTCCTCCTGTCTGGGAGAACAGGACGTCTCTGTGATTAGGCCTGAAGTCCCCTACACCCTCAGGTGAGGCTGGGACCCTGCCCCGGTGGGTGAGTTGCAGTTTTCCCCCAGGTCCCTTCCTGAACCATAGGACCAGGACTAGCTCTGTTTGCGGAGCCCAAGTCGGACTTCCCATCTGTCCATCATCTGTCCAACCACCCTCTGTAGATGGATTCGGGCTCCCCAGAGTGAAGGGCTATGGAAAGGGGCAGGGGAAGGAGGAAAAGGAGGGGAAGGAGGGCAAGCAGAGAGATCTCCATCATCTCTCCCCGACCCCCAGCCCCTCCTCAGGATGGATGTAGGACCCAGCTGCCATCCCCAGCGTGGACTCTACCTGCTGCTGTTGCTTCTGGCTCTACCACTCAGGAGCCAGGCCAGCGCTGGCTGCTACGGGATCCCAGGGATGCCGGGCCTGCCGGGGGCCCCTGGGAAAGATGGGCACGATGGACTCCAGGGGCCCAAGGGTGAGCCAGGTGAGTCTGCGAGCCTGGGAGGAGGCTGACCCCCTGGGCAGGAAGCACAGAGCCCTCTCTCTCTGCAGGCCTCGTTCCTTTGTCCTTAGAGCCCAGACTTCAGCCTCTAGGCTGACCGTGCTGCTTGTTGCCCTCATTTGCCTTGTCCTGTGGAAAGGAGTGAAGGGGGGGAGGGCTGCAGGCAGGTAACAGCCTGCTCACTCTACGGTGGACACTTAGGGAAGGTGGCCACCCTGGCTGCTTCTGGTTCACAGACTGGAGCATCAAAGCCAAGCCCACCATCTCCCTCTGGCTTAGGTTGCACACATTTTTTTTTTAACCTCACAGTGCCTCAGTTTCCACATCTGTGAAACGGTGCTGAGTCCCTGCTTCTCAGGGTGTCAAGGCTTTACATAAGCTTGCCTATATGACAACATTAAGCAGCTGGCAGGTGTGATGGGCTCTGCCAATCAGGACTACACCCAGGATGTTCTCGTGAGGGAAGGGCCAAGGAAAGGAGTGGGCAGCTAGGTTAGGGAGGAGTGGAGGGCAGGTGTGCTGACCCTTTCCTGAGTGGGCATGTTCCTCCAGGAGAGCAGTGGTGCCTGGGAATGAGGGAGGCAGGGTGGGGCTGAGCAGAACTCATGGGACAGAGGAACGGGGCAAGGGCTTAATGAAGGTGCCCTTAAGAACGTCCATACTACTTGCTCAGTCCTGATTCAACTTGATGAGTTGGGGTGGGTTAGTAGGGGGAACCTCCCCATTTCTAAAGACTAGGAGAGGAAGAAGGATGAAGGGAAGAGAGGAAGGAGGGGGCTATGATTGGGATGGAAAGTGAATAAATAAATAATTTTTTAAAAATGTCTATAACGCCCTCTTCCCTCTAAGTCACAGAATAGCATCTTGTGATTCTGGGAAGAAGTACTCAGTTCAGAGGAGAGAGTGAGCCCCCCGCCAGGGCTGTCCTTTAGGGAGCCCTATACATAGGTAGCTGCTAGAGGACCATTCTGAGGTCCCCTGGGTGCCAGCTCTGGGAACTCTGGGTGCGTTCACCTCCCAGGGCAGATAAACATTTAGAGATGTGATTTGCTTTGCAAATCACAAAACGGGTCCAGAGATATCAAGCAAACGGCTCAAAGTCCCACAGTGGCTTGTTCTACTGTCCTTCCTTGCCACTCGGACCCCTCTCCTGCTCCATCCTGCTTCGTCCCCATGAGGAGGATGACACGCCCCTGCTCAGCTGTCTCCAGCCCCTGACACTGTAGCATAACTTCTTCTCATGTGCATAAACTGTTTTCAGCCTTCGTAACAAACAGAGGCTCAGAGGTAGAAACTACCTGCCCAAGGTCACACAGCCTGAAGGCCAGATGTCTTGCTTCCTGAACCCATGCTCAACCCCATGCTCTCTGCTTGTTTCTTTTTGTTTTAGTTTTGGTTTTGGTTTTGTTGACACGGGGTCTCACTAGCAGTCTTGAACCCTCAGTGATCCTCCTGCCTCAGCCTCCTGAGTAATGGGAGGCCCTGACCCCAGACTATTTAGCCTGAGCATAAAAGACCTACAAGCCATTGAAAGTGTGACAGAACAAATCTTCACAAATACCTCACTCAGCAGGGACTGGTGGGGTCAGTCAATCCAGGAGGGATTCCTGTCAAAGGAAACTGGAATTCCATATCAAAAGATAAGTAGGGTCCTGTCAAGGGAAGGAGAGACTCAGATGCCCAGATCATCAGGCTGAAGTAAAATTGGACCCTTCCACCACAGATTCAGAAAGTGAGGCTGAGATGGACCAAGCTCAGGGCTTACAGCAGATTTCCTCCCACCCAACCTGTTCCCTCCCCCTGGGCCAAGCCATCTGGAAAGTATAGGCTAGATGTCACTGCCAGACCCACATGGGGTCCCTCTTCCTGTGCCTTGCCCATCATTCCCTTCCTCTCTCTCCAGGGATCCCAGCTATCCCTGGGACACGAGGACCCAAGGGTCAGAAGGGCGAGCCGGGCATGCCTGGCCACCGAGGGAAAAATGGCCCCATGGGGACCTCCGGGATGCCAGGGGATCCAGGCCCCAGGGGGCCTCCCGGGGAGCCGGGCGAGGAGGGCCGGTACAAACAGAAGCACCAGTCTGTATTCACCGTCACCCGGCAGACCACCCAGTATCCGGCAGCCAATGGCCTGGTCAAGTTCAACTCCGTCGTCACCAACCCTCAGGGGGATTATGACACCCGAACGGGGAAGTTCACCTGCAAGGTGCCTGGACTCTACTACTTTATCTACCACACGTCACAGACGGCCAACCTGTGCGTGCAGCTGTTCCACAACCAGGTCAAGGTGACGAGCTTCTGTGACCACATGTCTAACAGCAAGCAGGTCAGCTCCGGGGGTGTCCTCCTGCGCGTCCAAAAGGGCGAGGAGGTGTGGCTGGCCGTCAACGACTACAACGGCATGGTGGGCACCGAGGGCTCCGACAGCGTCTTCTCCGGCTTCCTGCTGTTTCCTGACTAGAGGGGCAGGCTGGCTCCAGCCCCCCGAGCCGCCCACCTTGCTCCCTCCACTTCCTCCATCCTCACTCAGACCTTTCCACACTGCTGACCGCTTCCTCCGGGGAGCGCACCTGACTTCCGGCCCATCAGCCCACTGGCTCCTCCGGAGTGTCTGTCTCCTGGAACCGTCTGCTGGTATCATTCCTGTGACAGTTTACAGATGCCTTATGAGACTTTTTTTTTTTTTTTTCAGGTAGAGGAATAAATAGATCACTAAATTTGCCTGGCCCAGATTTCTCACTGGAAGGCCTTGAACTTGTCGTGTGCATTTTTGCCTCTGTGAGTTTGTTCTGAGTGAAGGGGTGATTTGGAGTGAATGAATGAATGCCGAGAAAAGCACGTTAGTGACTGAAAACAGAACAAATGAATGAGCCGATACAAACCCGTAGTAGCTCCCATCCAAGTCCCTCTTGGGCATCCAGGTGTTTAACACTCACACCCGAGTCCTGAGGTGATCATGGATACGTGGATAGCAGAGAGGCAACCTCCAGATGTCTGACACACAGATTCCGGGGACCCCGGGAGGCAGTGTTGAAGCACACCTGCCTGTAAGCTTTGAAGTGTGTGCCGGGATTCCTGACGGCAGGGACTGGCTCCGCAGTCTTCGGAGGAGCAGGAGGGCTCCTTCTTGGTATCCTCGAACAGAAAAATGCAAAGCACAGCTGTCAGGCAGGCATGGCTCAGTGGCTAAGAGGGCTTGCTGTTCTTGCAGAGGACTGCGGTTCGGTTCCCAGTGCTCCTGTCAGGCAGCTCACAGCTACCTGTAACTCCAGGAGCCCTCTTTTGGACTCCACAGGCACCTGTCCTCATTATGTACACACCCCCTACAAACACACACACATATACACACACAATTAAAAATGAAACAAAAGAATCACAAAGTACAACTGTTTTCTGGGGCAGAGATGTATGAGGGAGGTCCCTCAGTCTGGGAGAACAATTTGCAACCATCTGGGCTCTCTTCCCAGATGGCTCATGAGGCTCGGGGTAGGCATCTCTGGCACTATTAATCAGTCAGTCAGGTGAATGAGTGTTCTTTGTCCAGCTTGGTCCTTTCACTCTGCAAGGGGTCTCTTGACACATTCATGCCTTCATCTTGGCGGCCCCTTCCCTCCATAGAAACCACCCACACAAACCTGGGCAATGTCCTTCACCAACATCACCTCCATGAAGCCAGCCCTGACTCCCCGCGTGGGCCCCCCACTTTCATAGATTTGAACCCCAAACTCTGGATTCTTTGGAGCCCAGTTTCCCAAGTCTGCTAGTACATAAAATCGACCTAAAGCAATAGGCGCGCCGCAGGTAAATCTGGTGCGCACAGTTCCACAGTCCATGGGATGGTTTTTGTCACATAGTACTCGAGGGTCTGTGCCGCCCACAGGGCTGTGAGCAGTCCTATGTGGGAATTGGGTGATGCCCGCCTGGCACCCAGTAGAGGCTCATGAAATGTGTTAGATGGCACAGAGTGAAATAAAAACACACGCACACACACACACACACACACACACACACACACGCACGCACACTCACACAGCAGAAGGCAAGAGCTGAAGCACCCTGCCTAGCTCACTGCATCTGGGCACTGCCAGGGCTAGCCTGGGTCACTGGCCACAGCGCTCCCAGCTGTCCCTTCATCAACCACTTAGCAGTTCATCGGTCCATCCAGAGACGGCTCGTGTGATGAATCTTTCTTCCCACGTTTCTTTGGTTTAGGAAATCGGCACAGTGCCTATGTCAGCCATAGGCAGCTCTGGTGTCAGAGCCAGAACCTGTACTTAGGAAACAACAAGGTCTGTTATCCTACCCGCCCCCACCCTTTCCTCCATCATTGTTTCCTTGTCCTTGTTACATCAAGACCTTAGAATGTGCCTGCTTAGTGCCATGCTGAGGGAATGGGCACTGGAGGGCGGGGCAGGGCAGGAAATAGAAAGAGAACCCATCTGCAGGGGAGTTCTTTAGGCCCTGTGCAACTGGGGGTTTTCTTGCATTTTTCCACATATTATGTGTCACCCCTGTCTATCAGGAAGTGAAGGAAGCAGTGCTACCTCTCACTCAGAGGCCAAGAATCAGCGATTGACTCCTCAGCTCCTGGTCCCCAAGTATAGACCCGGACTGTTCCAAGCTTAGCCCCTCCTCATATAGATGATACTGTCTGAGGGCACTGTGGCCTTGGACTTTTAGGGTTCCTTCCCTGTCTCACCAGCAGCCCCCAGAGACAGGCTCCCCCACCTCAGACCTGAGGGAACCCAAGTCAGTAACGTGCTTAAGCTCACATGATTGGAGAACTGAAATTCAAACTTGAGGTGTCCATCCCAACCACCACCCAACTACATCTGCTTCCGGTTCTTCACTCTGAAGCTTCTCCAGGTTTAAGTTCAGGCTGACCTTTTCTTACTGGCAGTTACTCAGGAATCAGAGTCTCAGCCTCCATGGCCATGAGACCCTCAGAAGAACCTGAGGCTGGCAGTCACGATTCATGCTTGTTATCCCAGCAGCAGGAGGCAGAGACAAAAGGATTTTGAATCTGAGGCCAACCCGAGCTACATAGTGAGACCCTGTCTTAAAACTAAATAAGTAATAAAGAGGGTCTCCCTGGGCATGTGGTCCTCAGTTCTCTCTTCTCCTTTGAACCTTGCTGAGCCTAGAGATCTGCTTTCATCAAACTTATCTCCTCTTTCCCTCTCATCTCTCTGGGTATCTATCCTGGAACTGGGTGACCCCTCGACACGGGTGCAGCCCCAGTGGCATAGCTAGACCCTGGCCCCAGAGCTCTCTGGCTTCTGGCTCTGTCCTGGGGTGTGGGTTCTGAGCTTCACTGATTTTCTGTGGCATTTACCACAGAAAACACTCAGTGTCAAACTCCAGGCTCTCCTAAAGGGATGTCCCATAGGACAGGACCCATTGCTACCCCCACCCTCTCCCCAGGTTATACAGCTCAGAATACCTGCCCTCCCCCAAAGGCCTATTAAAGATGGCTCATGCCTCTGGGCCTCAGTTTCTCACAGTGACTTCCAAGCCCCTCTGCAGCTCTAACTTGGTGTCCATCCACATGCAACGATCCCCAGCCTGCGGCTCGTGCTGTCAAGGGCTCCAAGCCCTGTTGGGAGTGGAAGGAGGTGAATGAATAAGTAATGAATACATTTAAAATTCATTATTAGATTATTTTCTGAAGACAGAGAAGAGAGCAGAGGTGGAGAGCGGGAGGCAGAGGAAGAGATAAGGCAGAGGAGAGGGGAGGCGGGGGACAAGGAGAGACATTAACAGTTCATGGGCTGGATGCTCTAGTTGGCACTGTTCCTTCTCCAATCCCACCTCCCTCCTCCTGGAGGCCCGTGAGAGCCGCAGAGTGCACATAGACATGGCTTCATCATACAGTGGAGGAAACTGGGACCCCCACCCCCACCCCCCGCCCCACGGGCTTCCTGTATGGAGAGCATTTAGCCAGCAAGGGACAGAGCTGTGATAGAAGTCAGGGTCCCTGGCTGTGAAACCAGGGCACAGGCTTCAGGATGAGCCTTTCTGCATCCATGGAGGAACTCTGGTCCCTGTGGAAGTCATGTGCTCACAAAGCCCTGGCAGGCAAGCAACCATCTGGGGACAGTCCCCAAGGACAGGCTGTACTACCCCGAGCCCACCCCGAGCCCCCCCAGGCGCTGAGTTGGCGAAACCATGCTGGTTGTGGCCATCGTTTACAGTAATTTCCCCCCAGAAGCAGAAACAGGACCTGAAACTTCCTGAGGGCAGCAGGACGGGGGGGACAAAGGGGCGACGGAGAAGGGTCAGTTTGTTGGTCCTTGGGAGGGGACAACAAGGGAAGATCCTTCCTGCCTCCAGGGACCCAGACTTCCGCTTTCTGTGGACAGCAGCAGGTTCTGGGCTCTGGAAACCCACTGCTGTCTGGCCTAGAAGCACCACGGAACAGCAGGATTCTGTACTAAGGTGAGCACGCCGGGGTGGGGCGGAGAGAGGTGGGTTAATGCACCAACAAGGGCCTTGCCTCCAGCTACAAGCCTCTGAACTATTAACTGGGCTGAACTCTCAGAGCCCAAGCCCAGATTCACAGCACAGGCTCCCCAGGGTGAACTAAGGGTGGATGTGTTTGTGGGTGCCTGGGCCCAGAGAATGATGGGTAGACAACCTGTACCCTGTAGCTCCTAGGATTGTGGTCTCAGGAACCGTGGATACTTAAACCAAAGATCACTTCTGTCTCTTGCACGCTGGTCACCTCCAACCATTCTCAGAACATCTCTGATCCCCAAATCCCTTCTGGGGACATCAGAGCCTTTTTATGGGTGCCGTGAGCCCTGACAGAGACCAAGCTCGAGGGCCCTCGGGGTTTGAAAATGTCATTGAGGCAGGAGCAGGATAAGGAGCCAGGTCTCTCCTCTCCAGGATCACAAGTCCCTGGCACCTGGGGCTGAAGGTCATTGTTGGTTAGTCCTGAGTGACAGAGCTATGTCCGTAAAAAGCACATGCTGCCCAAGGGACTTTAACCCTCCTGGTGCCATCTCATTTAATACCACTGACAGCCCTGAAAGCAAGAAATGACCAGAGAGGTTATGCACCTGTCTGAGGTCACCCAACCAGGCAGCAGTTGGTGGGGGACAGATGGGGGGCTGTGATCATGGACTGGCAGAAGAGGCATGTGGTCCAACCAAGAGGATCTGAAGGCCTCTCCAAAGCTGAGACTCAAGGCTCCCGATATAGACTAGATATCAGCATTGTCCCCATCTTATGGACAGTCAGCTGTGCCCAGAGAGAAGTCCTGTCATAGTATTGCCCCTGAAGAGCTTGCTGGGTGATGCTGGGAAGTATTTTCAAACTGTTGAGCCTCAGTTTCCTCATCTGTGAGATGGGCAGCCTGCCACAACCCACCTCCCAGACCCTGTAAGGATACAGCAGCAGGAGCGGCAGATCCTGACAAGAGCTCAGGGTTTCCTGTTCTCGCCGGGGTCTCCATAGCTACGTGGGAGAAATGAAGCACACCCACCCTTCTCCCTGTGCACTCTGGGGAGGAGGGTAGCCTGAGAGGGCTTCCTGGAGGAAAGCTTTGACAAAAGGCTTGCAGGCGGACCTGCTCAAAACAGCCCACAGCATTCTTCTCAGTCTGCTGGGATGACAAAGGAGCCACACAGCTCTCTCACTGAGCCACAGTCCCCTAGGAACCAGCAGAGATACTGACTCCTTTCCTTGCTATATGATCTGAGCAAGTGCCTTGGCCTCACTGAGCCTGGGCATGATCTTTGCAGCAACAGGCCTCCTCACCATGTGGCCACCGCATACACGCCCTGGCTCAGACATGAGAAATGAGGAGAGAGAAACCCTGAGACAGACCCAGCATTCACATCAGCTGGGCCCTGTGCCGCCTCTCTGCTGAGCCTCTGTGGTCTACACAGGCCACACCATCTTTCCTCCTGCGGCATCATTTTTTTTTTTTTTTTTGAGAAACCGACTTTATTATTAGTTTTTAAAATTAGATTTATGCTAGGTGCTGGTGGCACACACCTTTAATCTCAGCACTCGGAAGGCAGAGGCAGGTGGATCTCTGTGAGTTCGAGGCCAGTTTAGTCCACAGAGTGAGTTGCAGGACAGCCAAGGCTACACAGAGAAACCCTCTCTTGAAAATAATAATAATAATAATAATAATAATAATAATAATTATTATTATTATTATTATTATTATTATTATTATTTTATTGCATAAATATTTGGCCTACATGTATGTATATATACCATTTGTATTTCTGGTGCCTGCAGAGAGGGCATCAGATCCCCTGGAAATGGAGTTACAGATGGTTGTGTGTAAATTTAATGGGTGCAAGAAATCAAAAATGGGTCTTCTGCAAGAACAAGTGTTCTTACCCACTGAACCATCTCTCCAGCCCCATATATTTATTAGTTTGAACTATGTATAGGTGTGTGTGCCTGCATGTGGATGTGTGCATGTGAGTGCAGGTGCCCAAGAAGGCTGGGGGTGTTGGATTGCCTAGAGCTGGAGTTACAGGCAGTTGTGAGCTTCGTCATGTGGATGCTGAAAGCTGAACTCGGGTTCTCTGGAAGAATAGCAAGTACTCGACCTCTGAGACTTATCTCCAGCTCCCCAGCCCCCGTCCCTTGCTGAAACATAAAAACATTCTCATCCCAGTCCTTTCTGAGTCTTCAGATCTCAGTCAACACATTACTTGTCCCCTGTGGAGAAGACAGTCCTGGGGAGATTAGCCCCACCAAGTCCTCTTCCTCCTCCCCCCTCAGGGCACCATTGCCCATCTTCCAGAGCACCAATTTGTCTGGGTCCATCTGAGTTTATTTGTGTGCTCTTTGGCTCTTCTTAGTAACAAAGGACTTTAAGTGCCGTGTTGTCATTGCGCCCTCAGGAGCCAGTGTGTGAAAGACAATCTGTAAACACACGGATGCATACATAATACATGAATACATGGGTGCATGGCTGCGTGGGTGGATGATGAAATGGGTGAATGATTGGACGGATGGAATAGATGGGTGGATGGATAGGTAGATGGGTAGATGGATGGCTCATTGGATGGATGAATGCACGCATACATACATGGATTCATGAGGGCATGAATGGATGGGTGAAGACGTGGGTAGGTAGACAGCTGGATGGCAAATAAATGCATGAGGAGAGAGATGAATGGATGATGGGTGGTTGGAGATACGTGTGATGGTGGATAGAACAGATGATTGGAAAGATGTGTAGGTAGATGATGGATGAATAGGTGAGTGAGTGGAGACTAGATGAATGCTTGGAGAGATGGGTAGATGGGTGATTGGATGGACGAGTGGAAAGGAGATTATTGGATAAATGGATAGATGATGAATAGATGAATGGCTAGAGATATGGATGGATGGATGGATGGATGGATGGATGGATGGATAAATGGATGGGTGGATGGATGGAGAGATGGATAGGTGGATGGATGTTATTTGGAGGTGGATGAATGGCTGGAGAGATGGGTAGATAGATAAATGAAGGGATGGATTAATGAATGACAGAGCCACCATTGCAGTAACTTTCCACATGTTCTCACCCTGTAGGAGGCCCCCGAGGCTGAGCTGATGAAGACGTGGTGGGGCAAGGTCTCAACGCCGCTGTTACTGCTGCTTCTGGGCTTGCTCCATGTCTCCTGGGCTCAAAGCAGCTGCACTGGGCCCCCTGGCATTCCTGGAGTCCCCGGCATCCCTGGGGTCCCTGGCTCTGATGGTCAACCTGGAACCCCAGGGGTAAAGGGGGAGAAAGGTACTGCATACTTTGGAGGCACACTAATATTTCTGGCCCTGGCCCCATCTTGTATCTCCTGAGTCACAGTTGATTGCCTTAGAGATCGCAAGAGAATTTGAGACTCCAGTACCTTTCCAGGAAGGGCTTTTAATTGCCCTTTTGCAGACTGCAGAATTGTACGGGAAGGCAGCAGTGGGGTTCAGACCAAACAAGGAGTCCTGTCTTCCTCCGTGCTAGGATGGGGAACGCTGTGCAGTGCCTCAGTCCTGCATTCATCCTGACCTCCGGGCTAAGAAGCTGCTCTCATCTCTAAGTAAGGGCAGCTGGAGCTTGGGAGGCTCCTTGTTATGAAGCTTCATTTAATCTGGGGGCTTTGAACCACCTCTGTGGTAGCCCCTCTCCTCTCAGAAGCCCACTGCATCCTCACAGTTCTGCAAAATACAATCAGCCCGCTTTACAGGTGAGGAGGCTGAGCCTTAGAAACTGTGTCTTGTTATGTCTGTTCTTGACATGACTAAGAATGGAAGGCATCATCACCTGGCACATCTGTCTCTAGTTCAGCGATTCTCAACCTGTGGATCGCAACCCCTTTGGGATCCACATATCAGACATTTTGCATATCAGAATTGTTTACATTACAATTCATAAAAGTAGGAGAATTACAGTCATGAAGTAGCAACAAAATAATTTTCTGGATGGGAGTCACCACAACATGAGGAGCTGTATCAAAGGGCCATGGCGTTAGGAAGGCTGAGAATCCACAGTGCACACTTTTAACACTGCTCTCTGATTTCCTAGTAGAACATTTCCTTCTGTCTTATGCTGGTGGGACCATGGCAGCTTAGATGTGAGGGGAATTCCCCCATCCACATGTAGGTGTAGCCAGAGGCGTGCTGTGATTGATTAAGGATGTCTGCCACGGGAAGGGGAAGGGTAGCATGTATGCTGTGAATTCATTGCCCTTGCTTTTGGCTTAAGCTTGTCAAAGAGGTGGGAGCTGAGGACAAGAACAGGTCTCACATCTTCTCCATGGGGGTGCCACTCACCCAGCCCCTGGGCATCAGGTCCTCGTAACTGTCAAACACAACAAGAGTTAAAGACCCGGAGTGGAAGGAGACTGCGTGGCTCTGTCTGACACCCGCATGGAGTGTTGGACTTAGAGAGGTGAAAGGAAACACCCCAGGTCCCAGCCCAACCTCTTCCTTTTGTCACATTGATCTCTGGTCTCCTCTTTCCCGTTTGATCTGTTTGATTCTTTTTCCTTTTGATTCTGTTTCTCCAGGGCTTCCTGGATTGGCTGGAGATCATGGTGAGTCTGGAGAGAAAGGAGACCCAGGGATTCCTGGGATCCCAGGCAAAGTTGGCCCCAAGGGTCCCGTCGGCCCTAAAGGGGCACCGGGGCCCCCTGGAGCCCGTGGTCCCAAAGGTGATTCTGGGGACTACAAGGCTACCCAGAAGGTAGCCTTCTCCGCTCTGAGGACCATGAGCAACCTCCTGCGACGGGATCAGGCCATCCGCTTCGATAAGGCGATCACCAATGAGAACGGAAACTATGAGTCGCGCAACGGCAAGTTCACCTGCGCGGTGCCTGGCCTCTACTACTTTACCTACCATGCCAGCTCCCGGGGGAACCTGTGTGTGAACCTTGTTCGAGGCCGGGATCGGGACAGCATGCGGAGAGTGCTGACCTTCTGTGACTACGCCCAGAACACCTTCCAGGTCACCACCGGCGGCGTGGTCTTGAAGCTGGAGCAAGGCGAGATTGTTTACCTGCAGGCCACGGACAAGAACTCCCTGCTGGGCATGGAGGGAGCCAACAGCATCTTCACGGGCTTTCTGCTTTTCCCTGACATGGATGCATGATCCCAGCGTCAAACCAGTGCTCGTAGCCATCTCCTGCCCCCCTGCCAGCAGTCCCCCCTACACCCCGACACCACCGCTCAACTGCCTGAAGCCCAGACCAGAGCCCTGTAGATGTTACAGAATGAGCGGGTAAATAAATTCTCCAAGGCTAAAGGACGGTCGTCTAATCTGAGTCTTAGCTCCAGCACCTGGCTCATAGGAGGGCTGAGAAGCACCAGCCAAAGAAAGACAGACAGACAGACAGACAGACAGAATGAATGAATGAATGAATGAATGAATGAATGAATGTTCACAGGCTGGGGGATGGCTCAGTCAGAGAAGTACTTACCTTGCAGACATAAGGATCTGAGTTCAATCCCTAGCACCCACATGAAAATGCTGAGCACGGCAGCATGTGCTTATATTCCCACCACTGGGAAAGCAGAGACAGGGGGATGGGCCTCTGGGGCTCATTGGCCAGTCAGTCTAGGAGACTGACGAGCTCTAGTTTTGGAGAGAGAGGCTGTCTCAAAGGATGCTCCTGAGAAACAACACCAAACGCCCTCCGCTGCACACAGACACACAGGCACACACACTCCAGGTAACCAGAGGTGAATGAAAGGCTGCATCAAAATTCTCTCTGAACCAGCACACAGCGGGAGGCAGGACTCAGCACATGGCTTTCCTGCACCCTCACACTCTTCCTTGGAGACGGGGTGCTTCATACCTTGCTACAGAGGAGGGAAATGCGCCAGAAGATGGAGCAATGGTGATCCCACAGCACAGCGGGGACCCCAGGAGGCTCTGCCTGACACTTCTAAGCCAACACTGTCTCCATCACTCCCTTAATGGCCTTTTGCACTGTGATTTCACATTTTGCCACCCAGAGATCAGGGGATTCCCCACCCCGGCCCACCCTCCGCCTCAATTGCTTCCTCTTAGCATCTTCCCAGCCTGGTGCATGTTCGTCCATTTGTTGACACAAATATCGAACCTCTGCCGAAAACCTTCAGGGGCTCTCCAGTGTCTGCTAGAAAGGGTCCCAGCCTGTGAGCCCAGGCGTCTTGAAAAGAGTTTGCGTCTTCCATCCGAAGCATTTCTACTCTGGCACTTCCTCCTCCTGAAAGCCTTCCGCTTTAGAAGCCTTCCACCATTTAGACCTATTAAGGTCCGGCCATGATCTCCATCACCCAGGTGATCCTCCTGTTTCAGCCTCCACAGTAGCTGGGATTACAGGCTGGGCTATTTTCCCATCTGAGACAGGGCTGGGGAAATCAGGATGACTTGTTGTATTTTTCGAAACAAGAAATACATGTGTGTCTGTGTATGTGAGTATGTACCTATGAGGGCGGTCCAGGCCGTCAGATCCCTGGACTTACAGATAGCTGTGAGCCAATAGCTCGTGTGCTGGGAACTGAATTTAGGTCCTATGTAAAAGCATCATGTACTTTCAACGGCTGAGCCATCTCTCCATCTGCTTTCTTTGTATTTTCTGAGGCAGGATCTCACTGTACAGCCCAGGCTGGCCTCAGACCCACAGCACCCTCTGCTGCAGCCTCTCCAGTGCTGAGATCACGAGTGTACACCACTGTGCCCTGTCGCTGCCAGGCGCTGGAATGGTTCTGCAAAGAGCCACTGGCATCCAAGGCTGGACTGGCCAGCTTTAGTCTCATGGCCACCAGGGGGGAGTAGACACCAGGAGAAGGATGGCCTGCCCCTGACTGATGCTTGGTGGCATCCCTTCTCTTCCCAGTTTTAGGGAGAGATGTGACCTTCTAAGGATGGGGTTTGAAGATCCAGGTTCCCTAAGTCCGTCCCCAAACGTGGTTCTGGTCAGCCTCACCTTCATAGAGGAACTTAGAATCTTCATAGAGGAACTTAGAATCTCAGCCCCTACTTTGTACCAGCTGAAGCAAGAACTCTAAGGAGGGAAAACAACCTGCTTGAACAGGCTGCCCATGGGTGTGTGTGTGTGTGTGTGTGTGTGTTTGTGTGTGTGTGTGTGTATGGGGTCAAGAGGCTGAGAAACGCCGTTGTAGAAACTAGCGGCAAAACTCAGTGGCAGAGCATAAGCCCAGCATGGCAAGGGCCTGTGTTGCTTCCCCAGCACATACTAACAAGTAAGCACTGAAGGGGCAGTACTCCGGACAAAGGGAAGCCACACTTTATTCCTGTAAAGAAACAGATGGCGGGGCTGGGATATGACGACAGAGCATTTGTCAGGCAGTGGTGGCACAGGCCTTTAATCCCAGCACTGGGGTGGCAGAGGCAGGTGGATCTCTGTGAGTTCAGGGCCAGCCTGGCCTACAAAGAGAGTTCCAGGACAACCAGGGCTATTACACAGAGGAAACCCTGTCTCAAAAAAATATATGTATGTATATAAACACACACACACACACACACACACACACACACACACACACACACGTGCCAAGCCAGCTCTGGATCTGATCTCCAGCACTGCATGGAACAGTGAGCCCTGTCAACTTGTCACAACCCAGAGTCACCTGGAAGGGAGTCTCAGTAAGGGATTGTCTACACTGGCTTGACCTGAGGGCAGATCTGTGGAGTGATTATCTCAGATGGGAAGACTAGCCCAGCATGGGCATCATTCTTGAGGGAGGGGTTCTTGACCTGCCGAAGAATGGAGAAAAGCAGCGGAGCACAAGCCAGTAAGCAAGCGAGCGTGCATCTGTTCATTCTCTCTCCGCTCTCGACTTCGCAAGTGACGAGGCACTTCAGGCACCTGTCACTTGACGTCGCCACTATGGTAGGGAGTCATCTGCAGCTGTGAGCTGAAATAAACTCTTTCCCCCCTAAGTTGCTTTTCTGCTGAGGTGTTTGTCTTATCTTACTTTATTGTTGGGGGGGGGGTGTTGCCAGCGTGTCCATGCTGAGCCTCAGAGGCCAAAGAGCGTGCTGGATCCTCCGGAACAGGACTATGGATGGATCAAACCGAGGTCCTCTGCAAGAACAAAATGTTCTCTTAACCGCTCTCCAGCCCCCTTGCCAAGGTGTTTAGACCACATCATGCCAGCACGGGCGCACAGAGGAGGGCGCATGTCAATGCTCGGGAGGTAGAAGTAAGGGGGTCAGACATTCTAAACCATCCTTGCGCTGCATAACAAGTTTGAGGCCAGCCTGGGACGTATGAGATTGTATTGGCTGGTTTAGTGTGTCAACTTGACCCAAGCTAGAGTCATCAGAGAGGAAGGAGCCTCCGTCGAGGAAGTGCCTCCATGAGATCCAGCTGTAAGACATTTTCTCAATTAATGATCAGTGGGGGAGACCCCAGCCCCTGGTGGGTGGAGCCATCCCTGGGCTGGTGTTTGAAAGCAGTTCTATAAGAAAGCAGGCTGAGCAAGGCCACCGGAAGCAAGCTAGTAAGCAGCACCCTTCCATAGCCTCTGATTCAGCTCCTGCCTGCAAGTTCCAGTCCTGCTTGAGTTCCTGTCCTGACTTCTTCCAATGATGGAGTGTGATTTGGAAGTGTAAGCAGAATAAAGCTTTTCCTCCCAGACTTGCTTGTTGGTCACAGTGTTTCGTTGCTGTAACAGAAACCCCGACTAAGACAGAGATCCTGTCTCAGAAAAGGGAAAAGAAGCAAATACATTGTTTCGGGTACCACAGACTCTGTTGCAAGCACCCAGCCTTGTTTCTGTGGGGTGGAACTGTGCATACATAATATGCAGTCAACCCCCTGGACCCACGAGTTCTGCATTCATGACTCATCCAAGTGGAAACTGAAAATCCACGAAAAAAATCCACATCTGTTCTGAACGTGTGGGAACACCGTCTTCGCTTACCAAACAGCCCAGCATAGCCGCTTCCGCTGTGTTTACACCGTGTTTGCTATGACAAGTCATCCAGAGATGAGCTACAAGCACAGAGGGTTTGCTCAGCTCCCACGCAGACATAGGGCCTTTCTCTGGAAGGGACTGGAGCATCTGCGGATTTTGAGATCCCTGGGAGAGTTCTGGAACCCATCTCTGGGAGACTGAGGGAGGACTGTATATACACAGACGATGGTTAAGTTCAGCTACGTTTGTATGTGTATATGCCTATGACGTGCATGGATACATGTGTGTTTGTGTATGTGTGTGAGTGTCTGCACGTGTGTGAGAGCACATGTGTGTGCAGGTATATACGAATGTGTATGGAAACCAGAGACTGGTGTCCAGTCAGCCTTCCTTGGGCACTTCACCTTATGTATTGAGACAGGGTCTGTTGTCGAACCAGAAGCTTGCCAATTCGGCTAGTCTAGCTTGCCAGCTTTTCTTCAAGGGTGACCTGTCTCTGCCTCTGGAAGGCTGAGATTATAGGTGGCCAAGTTTTGGTTTAATTGAACTTGTAAAGACATGTCTCACTGTATAACCCTGGCTGACCCGTAATCCGATCTGTAGACCAGGCTGGCCTCAGACTTAAAGAGATCTGCTGGCCTCTGTCTCCCCCACGTGCTGGGGTCAAAGGTGTACACCACCAGGCCCAACCCTGGAAGGACTACTTACATGGGTGCTGGGGATCTGAACCCAGGTCCTCCTACTTGCATAAGCACCTTACCCACCAAGCCGTCTCCCCCACCTTTTTTTTTCTTTTTTTTTAACTCAGAGTACTGGGGTAACAGGCGTGCTCCACCCTGCACAACTTCTGAATCTTCTTTATGGAGTTTGAGTTTGATATGACCTTCTTTTTGATTTGTTTCTACCTGCTTAAAACTGTGAAGAACACCCTCAGGTGGCAGGCTGTGGTGAGGTTTGGCACTAGGTAGAGCTCACTGTCCTGCTGTGGACAAAGGAGTGGCTTCAAGCTTGGGGGAGAGTCTGAGGGCTTCAAACCCAGGACAACCTGACTCCAAAGCAAAGGACACAGGACAGGGCTCTGGTGGGAATGTGTCCTGAATCCTCATTCTGGGCACAGCAGCCTCTCCTCTTCCTGTCCTAGCCTCCCATTCCTGTCCCAGTGACCACCCAGCACCAGGTGCCATGCCCACTTCCCACCCAACACACACCCCACAATGCCCTGCTTTCCCAGCAAGCTGCAAGCTGAGTTTACTTTTGCAAATAGCCAGAAGGCATTCTCATAGACGACCCTGTTGGCCAGATGCAGAAGAAAAGGAGGTGTTTGTTCAAGAAACCCAGCAAGGCCCACCCAGAGAGAAACACCCACAGTGAGGG